TCATAAAAACTAATTTTTAGTTAAAAGTTTCATAAGGACTCAAGCCAGTTTTACTCATTAAAATTAAGTGAAGTGGTTTTAGTGTGAACGGATGATATTTACTGAACATTGAGAGCTCATCTGGAGGGGCATTTGCCCGTGCAGCTGCAGTGGACAGAGCATATGTGTGAGAGAAAGCGGGAGGTGGGAGGGGCAATTATTGATTTCCAGGGTGGGCATGCTGATGCACTATCAAACAAACCACACAAAGGACTTTTCGCTCGTCCACTGGCCCGTCAATTTTGAGCAACACACATTTTTATTCTACTTCATATTTAGTGGTGGTTCAATACATGGTCTGCATCACTGTAGTGCATGATAGTATGATTTATTAAGTCATAATCAGTCAAGCACAGAGAATAAGAATTACTTAATGTAAAAATTAATAGTATGTTAAAATTAATTATTAAACTATATATATATATATATATATATGTGTGTGTGTGTGTATTTATTTATATATATATTGTAATATTATGTATGATATACTATGTATAATACATACAGTATGTAAACTAGTGCATGCAAGTATTATGTATAAGAATCAGTCCGTAGATGAGACCGGAAGCCAGACCCATAGAATTTACAAATGGCCGCGCCCATTTTTACAACAAGAAAAAGGTGTATAGAAGACGTCGTTGTTTACTATACAACCGGAGCACATGCCGCTGAGGTGAGGGGCGGGACATTTAAACGTGCACCAGAGGCGGTTTAGCCAATCACAACACACTGGACTAACTAACCAATCAGAGTCCATCGCGTATTTCTGAGGGAGGGGCTTCATAAAAGCAGGAAATGATCAGCGCGTTAGAGAAGGGCCAGAGCGGTGAAGAATAAAGGTAAATTATGTGAAAAATAATGCGTATCACTGTAGTGCATGATAGTATGATTTATTAAGTCATAATCAGTCAAGCACAGAGAATAAGAATTACTTAATGTAAAAATTAATAGTATGTTAAAATTAATTATTAAACTATATATATATATATATATATATATGTGTGTGTGTGTATTTATTTATATATATATTGTAATATTATGTATGATATACTATGTATAATACATACAGTATGTAAACTAGTGCATGCAAGTATTATGTATAAGAATCAGTCACGACAAAAACATTTAGTTCATGTAAAAATTGTAAGTAGATTAAATGAATATGTAAAGTTAATATTAGATTATCTTATGTAAACTTATATGCAATGCATACATACACAGACACACACACAATAATATATAATTAGATTAAGTGATTTTTACAGTTGTGCCTGCTTGTAAAAATGAGTGCATAAAAGTATGATATATAAGAAACAGTTATGCCAAAATACAAAGAATTAAAAATAATGCGTTTTTTTTTTTTAAACAAAGCATGAACACGTTAGACTGGCCTAGAACAAACCCAGTCAACCACTCCTTTAAGCAAGACATTGTTTTCTTGTTCGAGCCACATGTAAATGCACAGTGTCCAGATGGCCTTGAACCTCTGGAAACTCTACTAACTCTAAAGAATGGAAGTCGTCCAGTGGTCAAGATCAGTGTGCAGAACATCACAGATCATGATATCAGGCTTGCAGGGAAAACTGAGCTTGGGACAATACAGTCAATAAAGTATCTGTATTACCAGTGGCAGCATCACATTTTGCAATAATGGCCACGATCAGTGAGGTTCAAAAAAACACTGGCAAGAAACATCTCAAAGTCTGGGGTTCCCTGACTTCTCTCAGCCATTCATACTTCACATGATGCGTACAATCAAGGCCTGGGTGCTGTCTTGTATCAGAATCAAAACGGCAAGTTAAGAGTAATAGGTTATTGCTCAAGAATCTTGACAGCTGCCGAGAAAAACTACCACCTGCACAGTGGAAAACTGGAGTTTCTAGCCCTCAAATGGGCTATAACAGAAAAGTTTCGAGACTACCTATTTTATACACCTACCTTCACCATGTACAGTGATAACAAACCCCTTTGTTATGTGTTGTCCTCTACAAGGTTAAATGCCACTGGATGCAGATGGGTTGCTGAACTTGCAGACTTCCATTTCACCATTCGCTATCGCCCAGGTCAAGAGAATGTAGATGCTGATTCACTATCCAGAATGCCAGTTAATATAGAGACAGCAATGTGAGAATGTACAGAGGAGCTTTCAACAGAGTGTGTGGGAGCCACAATACAAGCTGTGGAGGTCCAGCACGACCCAGATCCACCACTTACCTTAGTCTGTCAGGGTGCACAGGCATGCAGGGAAATTGATGATGAACATTACAAATCATTATCAAAAGAGGAGATCCAGGAAGCACAAAGGGATGACAAGAATGTCAAAGAAATCATAGACTACTTGCTTCTTCAAAGCAGTGGCAGTCAGCCAATCCTATTTAGAGGTCTAATGCGTGAGTAGGACAAGCTGTTGTTGGACAAGTATGGCATAATTTAGTGTAAAACATCACAACAAATGCAGCTAGTGTTGCCTGCCCAGTTTAAGAGTACAGTATTGTTTTGAGAGAACTACGTGATGAGATGGGCCACCAAGGCACAACCAGCCTCGTCAGAGAGTCACCACACCAAAAAATGTGTAATTTGTACATTAAAGCTTTTTTTATTTTTTTATTGGGCAACAAAGTATTACCGTATTTATAGAAAGTGCACAAGGATTTAACTTCTTGAAATTCACAGCCAGTTTAATAATGATGTGAGTTTGTGCTTCTGCTCACTCAGCTGTTCAATGAGGCAAATAATTTCTGTTCTAAATAGCCTAGCTAAAGCAGAAATAAGGTGCTATCAAATGTTACAGAGTGAACTTTTTCATGAACTAAGCAACTGGTTTTAAAAGAGATTTGTGTAGGATTTATTTATTAAAAGCTCTTGCTTTTCCTGCTTATTTGTGTTGTGAGTACAATGCATTCTTGATCATTGCTATGCTGGAAACATAATAGAACCCCAGTTTGGCTCAGATATCTTAGTTAAAGAGTAACCATGAACTTTAGTGAAACTATTTTTCACATTTACAATAATCCTCTCACTGCTCTTTAAATTAAATTCCCAATGACCATATCTGAAAACTATGCAGTCTTTATACAGAAGTGTCATTCAAGCATAACCAAAACTCATTTTAAATTCATTAAGGAAACCCTTTTGATTAATAAATGACTCCAGATATCTGGTTCATTTGCTTTGTCCTTTTTAATGTTTAGGTAATTCAGCATAACCAGCGGCAACTGTAAGATTAGTGCTGCACTGATAAACCAATTTTTTCTCTGAACATATGTACCGTTTTGTCTTATCTTAGAACATTTTTCCTGATGAAATGTTGTAAATGAAGCCATGCACTTGGCTATAACCAGCTCTGATGTTTCCTTAATTAAGGATCCAATGCCACCACCATGTGGTTGAAAATGATAATGCAGTGCTGTCTTTTGATCATGAATCTTTAGGCGTGACCCTGAGCTGACATGTCTGTCAGTACAAGATTTAGGCTTCAGTTTTGGAGCGTGAAAAGATATGAAAATTAAAACATGAAGATAATATTGTGTTATTATTTAAATTAAGAGATTGCAGGATTGCTTGTTTCTGAAATGCCAACAAGGCCTATGGATTATTTAATCTACAATGTAAAATAATACAGAGGTCTCATATGTCTATAATGCAACTCATGC